TAAGCGTCAAGTACCACCTATATCACCAGCAGTTCCAGAGTGTGTATCACATGTCCAGAACTTTCTTCCCTGAGCTATAGATCCTTTTACCCAGATGTTTACTCACCTTCCTCCCTTGGAAGGCACAGGCTCCATAACTGAAATATGACCCTGTCTTAATTAGTTTCTGTCACTTAGAATACCTGAAACTGGCTAATGTATAAAGAAAAGAAATTTCTTACAGTTCTGGAGGTTGGGAAGTCCAAGATCAAGGAAGTGCATCTGATGAGTGCTTTTTTCGTGGTGAGGACTCTCTGCAGAGTCCCAAGGTGGAGCAGGGCATCACATGCCAAATGTCCACATCCAGCCCAGTGATGACCACCAGGCCACTGCTGGAAGCTCTCTGGGCTCCTCATCCTCCCACTTTATCCCCCTCCCCTTTCCCCTCTCTTCCTCCACCCCAACTGCTCTGCAACAACATCTTAGAATGTAAAAATAAAATAAAATAAAATAATAAGTAAACTAATTAAAAATATATATAAAGCCATTCTTAGCTTGCAGTTCTCACAAAAACAGGATTTGGCTCCCAGGCTACAGCCTGCTATATATAAAGCCATTCTTAGCTTGCAGTTCTCACAAAAACAGGATTTGGCTCCCAGGCTACAGCCTGCCACCCCTCTACTGTACAGGATACGGTTCTTACAAGTAAATCAAGGTGTAAGCAATACAAGCTTTTATTACGTATTTGCACTTGCTGATTCTGGGCCAGGAACCCCTTTCCTCCAGGTCTTTGTGTGGCTGTCTTCTTTCATGCTTCAAATCACCCTCAGAGAGGCTCACACCCCCTACCTGAAGTGCTGACTTAGTCATTCTCTCGCACATCACCTGGTTTTCTTTCTTTTTTTTTTTAAATACTAAGTATTTTATTTATTATTTTTCTTCACATTGATTTCCGTGGAAAATATATAAAGCCATTCTTAGCTTGCAGTTCTCACAAAAACAGGATTTGGCTCCCAGGCTACAGCCTGCCACCCCTCTACTGTACAGGATACAGTTCTTACAAGTAAATCAAGGTGTAAGCAATACAAGCTTTTATTACGTATTTGCACTTGCTGATTCTGGGCCAGGAACCCCTTTCCTCCAGGTCTTTGTGTGGCTGTCTTTTTTCATGCTTCAAATCACCCTCAGAGAGTCTCACACCCCCTACCTGAAGTGCTGACTTAGTCATTCTCTCGCACATCACCTGGTTTTCTTTTTTTTTTTTTTTAAATACTAAGTATTTTATTTATTATTTTTCTTCACATTGATTTCCGTGGANTTTTTTTTTTTAAATACTAAGTATTTTATTTATTATTTTTCTTCACATTGATTTCCGTGGAAATTCCAGACCATGCAAATTTGAAAAACATACAGCCACCAGACATTAAAATTTGAAATAATCTCATTCTCCAATACATCAAATACATAAACGTGTATTCTTGGATTCTTTAGGCAACAGTACTAATTATACTTTTGTAGTAGCTAACACATTTAAAATACCTGTGGCAAAGTCATCAGTTAAGGTTTTAACTGCCTGTCCTTATTATAAATATGAGTTACTTTGAATTATTTTTTAAAAATGCATTTTCCTTGCTGTATTTAAGTCTTTCACAGAAATTCTTGATAATAATAAGCTCTTCAGTTTACAAATTATAAGTTTTAATATCCAGTATAAGCTTTAATATCCAGTGGATATTAAAGCTCTCCCTCTTTACTTTTCAAGTTTGACTCCACTGCTCTTTGCCTTTGAATTTCCATATAATTTTCAGATCATCTTGTCAATTTCTACTCACACAAGCACACCCCCCCAAACACAAGGTTTTTTGCTGAGATTCTGATTAGGATAGCATTGGATCTGTATATCAATTTGGGTAAAATTGATATCTTTGTAATAGTGGATCTTCCAATAAGTATATCCCTCCACTTATTTAAGTCTTTTTTTATTTCTCTCAATAGTATTTAAGTTTTCCATAAGAAAGTTTTGCTCATTTTTTGCTAAATTTACTCTTAGCTATCCAATGTTTTTTGATGCTTTTGTAAACATAAAGTGAACTAAACTTTATAAAATTTTATAAAGTAAGTTTTATAAAAATTAGCATAGAAATAAACATAATTTTTTATTTGCTGCTGGAAAGTACAAATAAAATTGATTTTTATATTCACCTTGTTAAATTTATTTTCTACAGATAGTCATGTGAACAACAGCAAGGTTGGTTTTTTTTTTTTTCTTTCTGTCTTTATATCCTTTTTCTTGTCAGATTAGATTGGCAAGGATTTTTACTACAGTGAGAAACAGAAATGGTGACAGGTATTCTTGTCTAATTCCCTATCTCAGAGGAGAAGCTTTTAACATTGTACCATTAAGTATAACATTTGCTTGAGGTTTGTTATCAATACCTTTTATCAGATTAAGGAAGTCCTCTTCTATTCTTAGTTTGCTCAAAAATTTTTATCATAAATGGATGTTAGGTATTCATTAAATGTTTTTTCTTCACCTACTGAATAATCGTGATTTTTAAACCTTTATTACTTTCCCATGAATCACACTATTTTTCCTCATTTCTTTTCTTTTCTTTTCTTTTCTCTCTTTCTTTCCTTTTGTTTTTTTTTTTTTTTTTTGGTG